ATAGTGTTAAATGAGATAACTGATTAAAATAAAACAAGTATATAGTTAACTACACTACATCCATTATAACGTACACATGTTGGTGAGTCTAGAAAATCTCCTAATGTTCGTCAATTTAGTATACAAATTTCGGAACAGAAAGATAGATTGATCAAGCATCTACCAAAACTGTTAACTTCGGTATCTGGATTATTTCTACGTATTGGGATATTAACAGTATATATTCATTCTTTAACGCAAAGATAGGGTATTCACTTTCTATATTTTTAATTTCCTCCAGACAGTAACGCCATCTAGATTATTGATAAAAGATATACCATATGGAGTTTGAAGTAGGTGATTTTTTTTAATAAAATGCAAAACCACCAGGTTCAGAGTGACTACTATTCCTAGCAAAGAGAAATCCCGTATATCCTGATAGGGAATAATTATATACATGCAAGTCTGTTTTCAAGAAACTTGGATTAGCCAAGCCGAAAAAGACTGTATCGAAATGATCAACTAATAACTATGTCTGCTAACTACATCATTTGAAGACCACTGATATTCCAAAAACCTATTCTGAAATTAAACATCATTAAAATTGGATATTAGTAAATGTAAAACAAAATAGAACACCCATAATATATAAACATAATTAAAGGTTGTAATGTTTCAGTCAAAAACTATTACCACCTACTGGTATGTGGTGTATGGCTTGATTTCCTTGGTGGTATATATTGTAAACCCCTGCAGATGTTTCTGTTGAGAGATATATATTTTTGTGAGTTTTGCGGACCAGATTTAAATATAAAGGTTTAAAAAACCGCACCTTCAGAGGTGCTGAGAATCGCTATAAAACAAGACCTAGTTTTTATGCCCTACACCAGCCGACAGATAGAGTAAAGGGGCTGAAATAAATGATGGAATTAAGGCAGATGTTTCGGGTAAAACAGACATGCATTATTTTAGACGGTATAATATTATGGAAGCCGACTGTAGCCTTATCTATTCTCGGCTTTTCGCCCACGAGAAAGCGATGAAACTAGACTTCTCGCCCGCGAGAAAGCGAGGGTAAAAAAAGGGCAAGGAAAATGCGAGAAAGCGAGGAAGGAGAAAAAGCGAGGAAAATATGAACGCAGTAGGCTTCCATACTACATTATAATCATGTATATATCATTGGTCCACTGATTTTAGGTCAAATGTAACAGATGGTGCAGAAAAGTACCATTTATTTAATACAATTGTGCTAATCATTGAATTATTTTCCTTTTGAATATGACGAATAATAACTATGGCAGAATTTCAACAAAAAGCATCACAATCAAGCCGTATATAAAACACTTTTCATTTCCATTGCAACATGGGATATGCCTCAAACTACAAAATTACTTAAAATCAATATCAATATCGAACAATTTAGGGAATTCTTTGAAATTCTCAACAACCACCACCCTCCTATCAAACTAACCGCAAACGTGAAAGGATAGACTTTCTCGATACCACTGTCTTTAAGTGAGATTCCATAGCAGAAACAAATAAACCGGACATTAAAGTGTATTTCAAAGAGACTAATACTCATCAACTCTTGCTCCTTTCACCCAAAACATACCTTTTCTGTTAAAATTAAGTGACTAATATGTAAACATTCGAATGTAATCTATTTAATTTCATGCAAGAAATGCCCCAAACAATATGAAGGAGAAACTAAGAATACTTTACGAACTCGTTTTAATGCTCATAGGTCGGACATCAAATTAAAGAAAGACAAGCCTGTTTCCAATCATTTCAACCTCGACGACCATTCAATAGACGATCTCACCCTAATCCCAATTGACTTGCCTTGAAGATGAAACTACCAAATTCCGTCAATCTAGGGAGGCCAATTGGATTGAGACATTGAACACAGCAAGACCTATAGGACTAAATATTCACCATAATGTAGGTATAGCACCCTTTATTGTTCCATTCAATACAACCAGCAATCGAGCAAGCAAGATTGTTTCTGCCCACTATAAGAGCCTTTAAGAGAAATTCCTCCATGTCTATAAGCAGACAATGATAGTTGCATATTCCAATTCCAATGATCACAACAAGTTTCATCAAAATCGGTAGCTTTATAGACACTACAGTTATCATCTGATTTTTATCAAACTTATCTGATGTTTTAGATTGATAAGATCTCGGTCAAGTTCGAATTTGACATATTTTCGATGATCGGTTTTTGAGTTATTGACCTTGACTTTGTTAAAACGCGTCGAAATTTGTTAAAAATAGTTCGTGAGCAGGATTGACGCTACAGTTTTCAACCGATTCTGATGGGCGTATGGTATCTTTGAGGTTTTGACTTGACTTTAAGATATTTTAAAGATTATTTGAAAATTCATTACTATAATACAGGTGTAATAAAAGATTTATTACACCTGTATTATAATGTTTAGATATATTACACCTGTATTATAATGTTTAGATATATTACACCTGTATTATAATGCTCAGATTTATTACACGTGTATTACAATGTTTAGATTAATTACACCTGTATTATAATGTTTAGATATATTACACCGGTATTATAATGTTTAGATATATTACACCGGTATTATAATGTTTAGATATATTACACCTGTATTACAATGATTAGATTTATTACATTTGTATTACAATGCTTAGATTTATTACACCTGTATTATAATGTTTAGATATATTACAACTGTATTACAATGATTAGATTTATTACACTTGTATTACAATGATTAGATTTATTACACCTGTATTACAATGATTAGATTTATTACACCTGTATTACAATGATTAGATTTATTACACCTGTATTATAATGTTTAGATTTATTACACCTGTATTATAATGTTTAGATATATTACACCCGTATTATAATGCTCAGATTTATTACACCTGTATTACAATGATTAGATTTATTACACCTGTATTACAATGCTTAGATTTATTACACCTGTATTATAATGTTTAGATATATTACAACTGTATTACAATGATTAGATTTATTACACCTGTATTACAATGATTAGATTTATTACACCTGTATTATAATGCTTAGATTTATTACAACTGTATTACAATGTTTAGATATATTACACCTGTATTGCAATGATTAGATTTATTACACCTGTATTATAATGTTTAGATATATTACACCTGTATTATAATGTTTAGATATATTACACCTGTATTATAATGCTTCGATATATTACACCTGTATTACAATGATTAGATTTATTACACCTGTATTATAATGTTAGATATATCACAACTGTATTACAATGATTAGATTTATTACACCTGTATTACAATGTTTAGATATATTACACCTATATTATAATGCTTTGATTTATAACACCTGTATTATAATGATTAGATATATTACACCTGCATTACAATGTTTAGATTTATTACACCTGTATTGTAATGTTTAGATATATTACACCTGTATCATAATGTTTAGATTTATTACACCTGTATCATAATGATTAGATTTATTACACCTGTATTATAATGATTAGATTTATTACACATGTATTATAATGATTAGATTTATTACACCTGTATTGTAATGATTAGATATATTACACCTGCATTACAATGTTTAGATTTATTACATCGGTATTATAATGTTTAGATATATTACACCTGTATTACAATGTTTTTCTGATCAATAAAATTTACAATCTGGCAATTTTTATACGCCCACACATATATGTGCACATTTATTTCAGTCACCCTGTCCGTTCGTCTGTCTACACTCTACAGCTAACGCGATAGAGTTTATAGTCCAAGAGGTTTACATCCAACAGAGATTTTGAACATTTTATGATTCGACAGTTTCAACCCTTGATACGCTGTAAATATGTTAAATTTCATCACTATAGAGTTAACATGTTATGTTAAAATCTTGTCAAATTTTCAGTGTAGGTATATCCACAAGATCTTGGACAAGAATCCCGGTACGATTCGACAAAATGTTGACTGAGTTTTAGACTTTCATACACTGAAAAAACGTGATAAGTACATGGGGCAACAGTTTTTTTCAGAATTTTATAAAATAATTTTGTATATGTATAGGTTTAAATCCACAAGATCTTGGACAAGTTGGAATTTTTTCTATAATTCGACTAATATTGAAGGGAGTTTCAACAATTGGTACACTGAAAATACATTAAAAGTGGCTTGTGAATGCAACAGAAGAATCAGCTTTAGTCAGTTTTTTTGTCAAATTTAGAGTGTAGGTTCATTTTCACAAGATCTAGGAATTAGAATTTGGGTGTGATTTGATAAATATTGCATGATCAGGGAGTTATGCTTTACAACCGCATGTTGTATTACTGCTGAACTCAACTAGCTTAAACATCATGATTTTTACTGCTTTTACAAACTAACAACAAACAAACGATGTCTTATTGGCGTATGTCATTGGAAAACCTAGAAGCTTTATAGCACTTTTGTTGATATTGTGGGTCAGTCGAAATTAAAATTAACTTTATATTTTTTACTTACAAAGTTTTATCAAAATAGTTTGAAAACGATAGGGGGAGTAATAGGAAGCAAGGAGGTCAAATTGAAACTTCATCCTTACTTATACACATTAAAATTTTTAATCCAAATCGGATACATGTAGATCCTGGAGGAAATATTAACGGATGGTCTCGTTGTAAGATACACAATTTATATATATATATATCCACACTTAAATATGTGGACCTATTAAAAGTAAGAAAAGAACATTATTTTGAAAGTTTGTGAAAATCATTTTATTGCATAATGTAACATTGAGGGGTTTATACTTTTTCAAATAGATTGACACAGTTCACAGAAACTGGTGACATTGAAATGATCAGAAGGGAATAACAATTACAATAATAGTGGGAAAATTGGGCCAGAAATTCAAACCTTCGGTATAGTAAATGAAGAACAAGAACATGATCATATTATTATAGACTCTCCACATACATTGCTTGTTTGACTTTTCTTCAATATCTATGCCAAGGAATCATAAGAAGGTAAAGGATCTGTATCTGACTCGTTGTAGCTTGGAGGATTCATCTTTACCACATGTTCTTCATCATTCACAATGGCTTGTTTGATTTGCTTTTTTCTATTTTCTCTAGCCGCACTTTTTTCAAAGGCAGCACAGAAACAAAAGCATGATCCACAAAACAGAAGGAGGGCAATGGGTAGAATACCAAATATACCACCCCAAAACATATTTCTTAATATACACTTCTGAGATACAAATGTCAATAAATTATGAAAATTTGGTTTACTGTGAATCATGGCAATAATATTGTGATTGGAGGCGTAAGTTAGATTAAATTTACAAGAACTTCGTCCCAAACAACCTTGTACGACTCTGGTTAAATCATATATGGTTTTTATCAAAGTAAGTTGACTGTAAATAATAGTAGGCCTACTCCTATGGTGTTTGTATTGGCTATCATATTGGGTTAATACAATATAGTAATGTTCAGAAGAATGGACATAATGTTCTACATCGTCAAATTTACAACTTTCACCTGCCCTTATAATGACCCTCTTCTCTAGACAATCTGAACATTTTCCCTGTTGATATGCCATCCAATTATCATTGCCTTGAATAATCAGAATTTCAACATCACTGGCACTATAAAGGAGTTGACATCCTTTGACTTTAATCTGTGAACCTTTCAGTAAATACACATCATAATAGGCATATTCCCCGTGTGAAATATAGTCCTTTTCGGATAAAGTAACAACTTCTCTTTTGTCAGAGCTGATTTTAGCTTCACCATCTACAAGAAATATATCAGCATTTCGACCAACATTGACTTCGTATTGTTGACACAACACACTGGAAATATCACCAATTGAAAACTTGTCGACTCCCCTTTCTTTGGTTGAATACACCGGAAGAACTTTAGACCGGTACAAGTACGTAGCAGTACATCCAAATATTATAGCTACAGCGATTGCAAATTGTATAAAAGCAGAACAGCAACTATCACCAGATTCTTTTGTTTTACGTTTTGTTTTCCCTTTCACTACTTGAGCTGTTGGTTTTTCGTTCGGTTTGATAGTAAGTTTAGTCATCTATTAATAAATAAGAAAAAGGCTTGATTAAGCCATTAGGTCAAGCTGATATTTGTATAAAAATGCTGAAGGCTCAATCCAAGTCGGCCGACCTTTGTAGTAAGCTCTTGTATTTAAGAAACAATCATATTTCGATGGAGTTTTACCTACAGTCTGCAAACATGATGGACAATTTATTACACATTCTCATACGGAATAAAATACTGAACTATACCGTAAAATTATCCTTGCCGTGCTATATTTTTTACTGTAATGGACTGGTTATAGGGCCTTTACTACAACAAAATGAATGGTTTGGTGAGAGTTTACAAAATGCATATTTAAAACAAAAACTTAAAAGCTTACTTTTAGTTTGTGGATGTTCCCTATATGTTGTTGTTATAAATTAGCCAAGAATAAGTTATCTCTCGACTTATAAACTGATAGTTTTATCTCTCGGTTTCTGATAACAGATTGAAACTTTCTCTGATGTCATTTACATCTTACACAGAGGTTAGTGTAAAAATAGTAATTTTATACAATGAAAAATTTTAATTTAATTATTGCGAAAGAATAGTTTATATCCGGATTTGTTTTTATTTCAATGTGCGATCATCAGAGGTACACTTGGTGATCTACAATGCAGTTACACTTCGTTGACGCTTTAAATAACTTTACAAACGACAACGAAAAGGGTTGCCTTGGGAAAATGTAACATCAAGTTCGAGAAAGTCAGAAGCTAGTTCTTCTTTAATGGGGACTATCAGAACATTAAAATGTTAAAACGTATTTTTTTTCATTGTACTCAATTAGTAAATCTACAATAATAGTCGCTTCCATACTACTTCTCATGTACACCTTATTTTTAACGCACTGTAATGTTAGGACAGAAGTCACTATGGTATATTATAGCTGTTTCCCATATCATAACAATATTATTATTATAACTATTTGATAACATTTACACATTAATTATCACGTGTAGCCGATATATAGTGTCAGCTAAAACTGTTTCTAAACTCATATGCCTACTGATAGATATTCCTTGACATATATTAGAGATAGAAATTGAATAGCATATATGCGGTTGTGAAAGAATTCACTCTCACATAAAGGTTGTCTTTCAAAATCTGCTGACAGTGACACAGCCCTTCGACAAAATCATGCAAGAAAGCTTGTCGTATGGTGACTATGGTGACCTTTATTTATAGTCCACATTAAATGTGACACTGTAAGAGGCACAATTCTTGGCGGAGTTTGAGTGTGTTTATTATCACCGAGAGATGAACCCTATCGAAAATCAGAAAATCTGATATTTAGTATGAATTATTATTCCTTGATCTTGAAAACTGTTAACATTCTAGAAGGTACAATTTTTGACGTTTTTGAAATTGCTGATCATCCAAGGATGAACCCTTTTGAAAATAAAAGAAAAAAAAATCGAAAAGTAATTGATTTATTGTCCTCGGTTCATGAGAAAACTTGTAAACACTCTGGATGGCACAATTCTTCACGGATTTTGTCGAAACTTTGTGGAATTGGTTATTTTCACTAAAGGATGAACCCTATTGACAAACCGACAAAATTACTTCAGGAGTTAATGCACTTGTTCTTGAAAACGCCTTCAATTAGTAGACCATAAACATTATAGTTGGCACCATTCTTACCTGATTTTGACAAAACTGGGTCATATTGTTCATTATCTATCACGCAAAAAAGTTCAAAAGAGGCGTATAATTGAAGATTGATTATTTCATACAGGTGATTGTACTGTACTGCCAAATATTCTTTTATCAATGCTGCCAGTGGGTGTATATTGTCTTGCCTGGTTAGCTATATTTTCATAATTCATAGCAGATGAAAACTCATAAACCTCTTCCAGGACTCGCTTCCGGATTAAGCCCACCAAATGTTACAAAGGAAGGGGGAAACTCTTTACAATTCTTCAATACCAAGAAACTGATTTTTGTGGTTAGGACCAAATAATATAATATGCAATTCCGTTTATCATAAATATTTCTCTGTTTGGGAGAAAGACCAAATGGCCAAAACTTCCACCGATGTAGCTGTTCCTTATTACATATATTTCATAAATATCATCAATTCTTTGAAATTCCAGATAGAAATTATAGATTAATTGCTGTAAAGACTCCTTTGAAGTGTGCAAGGTGTATGAAATATATAAGTTCAAGTTCCCTTTGACCACAAAAATCTGCTCCACTTTATCTGTCCTCAGACCCCCTTACATTCAAAACATAACACATTATTTGAACACATACAAGTATTTTATGCCATTACAAGTTTTTTGTCAGAATAATAAGCTAAGAAGGATATAAAGAGGTATATAATCTATACATTACAATAGGTAGAAATAAATATAGAAATTTTTGTCAAAATAATTACTACAATAAGTTAAATAATACCAACCCAAGATAATGCCTTAGTCTATAGTTTGGTTTAACTTTCAAGGAAGTGATAAGCCTATGTCTGTGTTTGTACATCAATAGAATATTTATTACACTAATGATAACATACAGAAGGTTGTCTTCACAAATGTTAATAACAATAAGATTATCAATACCTTTAAGTAATGATAGTCTGTAATAAGGTAAAATCTAAAATTAATTTTGTTCTAGAGATGATTATATTGACAAAAACTTCTGTAAATTGACATGTAACTACACTGTAAATAAAAACAGCTTTCTGTGGTTTACATTATAACAATTATGATACATTCTATAAAAAATCTACAAAACACAAAAATTGAGTCTAAAAATTCATACTTAAAGAGCTAAATAACTTGAGATTCTATAACATTTGTGTTGCCGAATTGAACACAGAAAAATAAAGTATAAAGTAAATGGAGCCAAATCAAATGAACACAATTAATTCATTTTAGTTACTTTGATGAGACTACATTAATATTTTCATTTAGTTACTAGTTACTAGCACAGAATCAGGCGAATACACAAACATGAGCAGTCTACTTTATATTAGGTAGTTTAAGTAGTAATCAACAAAATTTAAGCTAAGTCTGTATTCTTTCTATTTATTCTACCTCAAAATAAAATAGACTCCTGTTAATGTTTGCATTAGGACCCAAAGGGACTCAAATAATACCTTTGCTAAACTATACTTAAATTTCTATAGAGTAAAATTTGATTTAGACATATCAAAAATAGAATATATAAGTATCACCTAGTTTATCAAAACTCAACAATTCTACTTTATTTTATACACCTTTGACCATCCTTTTTTGTTCAAAAATTCTAAAAATGTAAATAAACAAATAACAATGTCATTGATGGTTTCTGGTTATCAAATCTCTAAAGACAATCTGAAAGAAGTTAAGTGGCAAGTAATCCATAAAGCAAAAGAGTATATAGGTATGTATCAGAAAGACGCTTATTACATCCATATGACATTTATCTGTTCACTTTGTCACATACTCACTGGAGTCGGCTTAGAGAGAAAGTTGAGTTCTAAGTTACATAGAGATGGTAAAAATATAAAAATAGTTACCAAGGTGACTAGATTATAAACAATGATCTAGAAACTATAGGGCCAGCCCTACCTATCTCACTACAGCTTTGATTTCATACACAAATTGGAATTAACATAATTAAATAAGGATTTAATAACAAAATATGTAATGATTAGTTTGATCCCTATCCATTGATTTTACTTTTATAATGCGTAGTTTAATTTCTTGTAAACAATGAAGTATTCTATTGCCATTTCCCTTTGTACTATGAATATTATTGTTAATTCAATCAAAACTTAACACACTTAGCCAGCACTTGACAGTTAAACTTTTCTGCCTTATTTCTAGCATGATTGTGCAAATTGGTTTCATTAAGGACAAAAAACAATAATCAGAGATATGAATTTCTCATAGATTGACATGAATTGCTATCATTAAATACATAATAGAGTTATCTTTTTTGACAAGTGTAGAATACCACTCTATAATTGACATGGTATTATATAAAACAATTATTTACTAGAAAGTTAAAATTAATACTTCAACAATACAATATACAATTAAAATTTTCATACAATTTCATATAAAAATTCACATTTATAAAACACAATGACTATTATCAAATATTGATACATCTAGACAATTTTGGTCTGAATTTATCTAACAAAAGCTTCTTAATTATATACCATTTTTATGTTGAGAAAGCAATACCAATTCTTATTTTATATCATTGTAGGTTTAGTTTGCTACCAGCTCCCGAAAACAAAAACAAATTTATACTTTATATGGCAAAACTTATCAAAATACAGAGTAAAAATAAAATAGTCTATCTTAATCTTTTTTCATGTTTTAACAACACACATGCTGTTTCAATACGAAATTATTCATAACTACTGTGAACTAAATTCAATTTGGTTTTATGAAAAGCTGGTTACAAAACCCACATGTAAAATTATAGAATTCAGTTTCCAATTTATTGCAGCCATCATCTAATCAAACATTGATGCTAGAAAAAAAGAACATTCCCTGAAAGTATCTTATAACACAAATGTTATCATTATAAAAATCAGATCTAATAATGCTCTGCTGATGTTTCACTGAAAATGTGACAAGTAAGATTCAATAAACTGACTTGTAAACCTGACAGTGAAAGATTTCATAAATTTACATTGAAATCTGACAGTGAAAGACATCATTAACTGATATGGAATCTAACAGTGAAAGATTTTATTATAAGGTTTCATAAACTGACGGTGAAAGATTTCATGAACTGACGTTGAAATCTGACAGTAAAAGATTTAACACTTTAAGATCTCGCATATTGACTAAGAAACCAACCAACTTATAGGAAATTAGCATTAAAACTGTACACCATATCTCAATTACAACAAAACAATGAACAACGTTATCAATATAAATTACATACAATCAAGACTACCAGCCTTGAACTTTATCCATTGAGCATTTGTGTACACAAAGGAGATATAAATATTCATAATTATATGTAAATTAATAGGTCAAAGGTCAATATTGGGGTATTCTTATGCCTCAGTATCATCACCATCATGACCTTTCAAGCGAAGACGAGCAAAATCTTCAAATATAAAATCATCATCTTTATCTCCATAGAATGCTTCACCACTACAAAAAAAAAATTAATAGCATTATTACTTTCCCTCTTTTTTTTCAGTATAAGTAACAGCAACAATATACCATCAACTTCTTCACTAACAACAATGTGTGAAACATATACACTAGGATATGGTATGTTAAAGATTAACAATGTTATGGTCATTGATGAAATGTTTTTTTTTGTTAAGACTAATTTTTATGTACAACAAATACACACTGATTAGGCAAATGACTGGCCTTTTTCTTTCAAGATTAAAACTTATTTACATTAAATCTATAAACTGCCAACATAAGTTGTCAATATAAAATCAGATATATATGGTTCAGAGGAGAGCATACTACTATTCTAACCTGCCATAAATTTGATCTCACAAATACACTGTTCAGTAGTAAGATAGATCAGTTTAAAAATATAAAATACTTACTTGGTATCTAGTTGTATCAAGTTTGTATCAACTGGCGCTTCACCGTCTTCTGCTGGTGCTATACTAGGTGCTCTTGATGGTGCTGGAGACTCTGGTGGTTTAGGATGAGTTAGAGTAAATGGTAACTCTACTGATAGATCACTGTCAATAAACAACAAAATCAATTACAATGTCATCATGCTATTTATGTGATTATCCTCCATGCTTTAAAATGTCATTTATCAGGCACCCCAAGTAATGTTTCCTAAACAAAATTGGCATATATCAATATAAGTATCAAAGTGTATACTGTACTTTAAATCTTGTAAATGCCTAAAAATAGAAATAAAACCTACCCTGAGCCAAATCCAAGAATAAGCTTGATTTTAACTCTATATGAGACAACAATACCTAGACTTTCTTTTTGACTACTGTCTGTCATACTGAAAAAAAATATTACAGTTCCGGTAAGATTATCTAATAGGCCTAAATATTTACCAAATACACTTATCACATCATGAATACAATTGAAAAAAAAAAACCTTGAATATGTCCATAAACATCTAGGAATATGAATTTTCAACAACTTTTTGTACAATTCATAAAGGTGGTTAGAAGAGGATTGTGTCAGAGTAAGCAGAACTAATTTGTTTTGATGTCTATTTTATTTTTAAAATGATATGATTAAATAACAACTTAGTTAACATTTTGAAGATTGCAGATGTATAAAAAGGAGATTATGAAAACTATTATGGTCACTTAATTGACTCACTGAAGTGTAAATACATGGATGCTGTAGGGGGAACTTGTTTGTGGTCACATATTGAAGGTGCTTGCTTAATAAAGGTGGTCACATGAGCAGGATTCACAGTAGATTAAAATAAGGAAGTTATTGATGTAATAAAAATACTTACATTGTTGAGGAAGCTAGATTTGTATCCTCATGTTTGAGTTTGCCATCCAGAGCTAGACCTCTCTTATCTCTATTATTAGCCAATAATGGTGTCAAATGATAAACCTTACAAAATCCTGTTTGACTAGGTTGAATGGGGAATCCTTCTCTACAAGATATAATATACATTTACTTATAAACATTGAAAACAATGTCTCATAGCAGTTTTAAAACATAACATTGAAAATCTCTAAAATGCCCACACTCCATTTAAATTCAAAATAATGTATTATGGGAAATAACTTATAAAACCTCTTGGCATATGTCTCATAAGTATAGGAAGTAATGTGATTTACTTTGTTATCAATGTAAATACATAATTTGCTATTTAACAGAGAAAATATGATAGTGGCTGTTTTAACAATTTACTGATATTAATATGATGGCACAATACAAGATTTCATATGTTAATTGGAACTTTGCATTTAATAAGTCTACTTGGGAAACTGTACAATGAACTATTCTTTTAAATTGGAATTTTGCTAACTGTAGCACTTTCAGAATGAAAATATGATTTCATCAACATCCCTGTAAAGGGTTCAGTCTTATCAAAAACTATTTTTCTATCTAAAAGCTGCTTCTTGTACTATGAACTGGTTAAGCAGATCTTAAGTAGACTGAACCAGTTACTGCCATGAAATATAAAGTAAATATAATAATCTAGAAAGACTGGATAGTTTTGTGCTGACAATGTATGCATAGTTCAGCAAAGATATTCATCACCATCCAAGACTGATTCAAATCACCCACGTTGCTCAATTATTATTATTTTACCCAAAAGTCATTTCCTGATGTGGACAAATATCTTTGCAAGACTACATATTATGATAATTGTGTTCACATATATAATATATTGTAATATTATTTCATGCAAATACCTACTAAATCTACTGATTAAACATGTATATAATAAATACATATAGATGTCCTAAAAACATTGATTCTACAGAAGTAGGACAGAGATCATAATGTACATTTAACAATGATTATACTTGAAATCATGCTGCATATATTATAATGTTATCTTTAAGACATATTCTTCAAAATATTCAGAACTACAAAATCAGATGTATGATGTATTTTACTGAAAAACATTAAATGCAGACTTGGCTTTTTTCATTTGAATCAATTTTACTTTAGGTCTTTTTTCACTAAATATTTGTGTAACATATCAGGTTTTTTCTTATCTTATTCCAAACAGGACAGCATTGATTTATAATTCAAAAAAAGAAAATTGAGATTGAAATTATATTTAGTTACAACCCTGCCCTACTCTTACTCATTTTCTACCAGTTTTTCAGATATATTGGCATAACTTAAACAATTTTATCAACAGAAAAGCTGAAAATTACTAATTAGATATTCTGCAATATATTCTGTACATTACTTAGAAAATGTTCTGCATAGTAGAGTAAAAACTAAAAATGTTGATGTAGTCAATTTTGATTATGTAATTTAAGAGATTGTAAAGAGGCTTTGTAAATTTTGTGTATCAGGGACACCGACAGCATCAATTTTCGCCATTCCAATTTTAAGATGTCTGCGGTTCCTGCAATTCTAGAAAATATAAGTGTTTGTTGACGTCCCTTATTGCAAAATATGCTTGTATAACATATGGCCCCTAGCAATTTATGACGTCAAACACTTAGTTTTATGGGAATCGCAGGAACCACAGACATCTGATTGAAAATAGGAATGGTGCAAATTGATGTTATCGGTGTCATTACAATAAAAAATAAACTCTGAGTTTTGTTTTTCATGACAATTTTCAATGATACTAAAGATAAGGAAGTATTTTCCCTTTTTACCATTGTATCTGGTTGATGTTTAACATAATTAATTTGGACATTTGTAGTTCTGAATAACTGTAAATAATCTTGATATATATCTACTGTGTTGTACTTACACAGGAAATACCCCATTGATATGATCTCCTGCCGATCTGAGTAAAATTTAATTCATATCATAATATTCAACAAGTTAAGAATTAGGCATGGTAATTGCTATATAAATGAAGTTATTTTGTTATCCAGCTACATGTACAATTTCATCAACATAGATCATCTCCATGCCAACATGCATTACCACAAATCCAATATATATATAATGCAAAGGCTTTAATTGTTTGATTGATGACTAAGGTCTTAAATGAATATTATTAAGATGACTTCTTCAGCTTGTCATTTCTTTGTAAAAAATTACTGAACATATCTATTCTGTCCATTCAATGTGATTTTAGAAAAATCATTAGAATTTTCAAAGAACAGAAAATAAAAAAAAATAACAAACTTCAACCATTCTTACCTACAATCAAGCACAAAATATATATGCATGTTATATCTATCCCTTATGAAATTAGTAAAAGCAATAAAGGAAACCTATTCTACCTTAACCATATTGTAATAATAGCTAGAAATATAACTTACTCAGTTTCCAATTCTGCTACAGTACATTTATATTGTGCCGTGGAAAACAGACATATATCAGCAAACTGGCGAACTGTGCAATAACAAAACATATATTTAGAAATAGAAAATGAAAAAGTTATGAGATGACAAGTGCATTTCCTAAATAGAATATAATATAAATTACCATTCATATCTTATAATCAACATACAATTAACATTTGTTGTTCTTCCCAATCACAGTTTCAATCTGTCACTTATATTTTATGTAACAAAGGAGGCTTTCTATTGTTGAGTTTCATATAGTCACACAGAACAATGACCATTTTACAGAAATGGTAATCCTTAAAAAAACCAGTAATTTCATACTGAAACTTCAGAAATAGAAAACAGGCTTTAATATCTGAGTACAATTTTTTAATATCAATCTAGGCATTGAAATCAGTCTCGAATTTAATCCTAGAGAGAGCCAATGTCCAGTCTAAATATAGAAATACACCACCAGTCTAATTAACTTAAGACCAAACCCTTGTTCCATTTTTTATCAACTTTTAAAAAAAAATATAGCCACTGCAGTTAGGGTTTAAAGACGACTTCTTGAACATTTGTCTACTAATAAAATTCCTGCCTTCTTCATCATTTAGATTTTTTGATGAGAACAAAAGTTATATTCTGAGAAGCATTAGCCACTATTATAACCTACTGAAGGGCAGGAATTTGATTACCTGGCAGTGTCATCAAACGGACGGATGTTCAAAAAGACCGTCTTTAGACCCAAACTGCAGTGGCTATTTTAAAAACAAAAGCTGATAAAATTGGAACTAGTCTAGTTGTTTATTACTAATCTTAGTTATCAAAAATTTTCAGCACCAAAAGCAATATCAATAATAAAATTGTATAGATTTTAGCTATAAAAAATAATGAATAATTCAGAACATTAATGAACATCAAATATACAGTAAAGAACATGAATGTGATTTGTGTCAAGTGGATGTAATGTGATACATAGTCTGTGATATCACATTCAGACTTACATATTGTCATCTTCTGCTAAAGTTTCACTTGTCATTGTATTTGCATACATTTGAATTTCAATATACTGCAAAACTGAGAAATGGCAAATGATTGAAGAGAAGTTTCCATGAGTTATCAAAATCACAATTTATACCAGATGGAAACAGACATCCTGACTACCGATGGAAATTGATTCTATCTGTAGCAAGATACATAACAAAATACTTTGCATTACAAGTATCCGGCGAATTTCATTTTAATTTAAAACATCTAAAATCTATTGTATCCTTTCCCTTATGATAATAATCAGGAATGAAAACTAAGATCAAATAAAGCCAATATCACTTTAGTGGGTGTAGAAATTCAATCATATAATCACAAAATAGCCCATTTGTACTCAGCAATGTGCTACTGATAGATAAAAATTATATCTGCATGTAAAGGTTAAGCTATAATGGTAGTAGAAATAAGATCATGATATCCAATCAAGCCCTATATAAAATCAATGTAATTATCAATACATACCTGAGATTTTGATTTTCTTGACTGTTTTATTGGTATTATTATCAACGAGAACATTAACATTCAAACTTTCACCATGGTAATATTTCTGTTTTAGATAAAACAATCATAAATAGTTTATTTATTTATAAAAGTGACACATGTTGTAGGAATAAAGTGTTCTACTTGCTGAATGTCTTGGTTTTAGCTATCTGTAACATTTTTCAGAATTAAAAAACTTCGTTGAATTGTATGCAAACCTGACATCAAGTTATAACTCTGAAAACTGCTACTGATAGTTGAGATTGAGACTTCTCATCCAGTAAAGCAAGTATAATAATAATCTGTAACTTTTGATTATATAGACTAGATAAACTAGATTGTCTGGACCATGAAATTCACAAAAATTTAGACACAAAAAATTAATTTCACATTACATATATCAGTTAAAACTGGAATATTACAGGAGTTTATAGGAGATAATTATTTCTTTCTTATTCTTATTCAAAAAATGTTTAGCTGATTTCAATCTTGGTTTCCAGTACAACTTAGATGTAATAATCACAATCCGAATGTTACAATTCCATCATACATGCATCTGGGTACTAGGTAATGTGATTTTAAGGGGAGTGTTCTCCAAATTAAGTTTTGTCAAAATTTTTTATTGTTTTAGCTTAATTAGCTATAAAACGATAGGGATGGACTTGGCACCATCTTTAATGAGAATATAGTATAGTAATGAATCTATCTCAGAGAGTAGGTATTGATGATCATTTATATTTTATCATAGACTATAGCATAATATATTACATGTGATAATTGTCATATTAGTGATTATCACTCAATATACACCACAGCACCAGGATATTAAATTATTATTCTCATAGTTTTTCATTAGAGACGCAGAAATCATTTCTTGGGTAAAAAAAAATATAAAAAAAGCGTGATAACCAAATGATTCTGTTAATTTTCTGACAAACCAATGCAAGTTCGTTCTAGCCAATGCATGGCTGAAAAGTCTAACCAATTTAAAGGCATCAAGCAATGAATGTCCATGATGTGCATATTGTGTATATTGGAATACATTGTATATTCATTAATCATATAGAAACTTTAAATTGGTTAGATTGTGATAAGGAGGTTATTAAGTCAAATATTTTGTTCAAAAACTGTTATAGACATGAGCTATTATTGACAAGTCTGGCACTATTGAATGTGTTTTATGCCTTTTAGTTGTATTAGATATTATTGATATTGAATTAAAAAACAGGAATTTACTATTTCAATCCAAAATATGACATCTGTTAACATCATCGAAGACAAAACTCATTTTCATTCAAACTATAGGGGTGGAACAACTATAAAATTCTATCAAGTGTGAAAATTGAAAATCTTTATATTAATATTTTCATTGACATGAGTTTTATGTTGCTTTTTCAACAACATGCAATGTATTTTTTTTAATACAGATCTGTCTGTACTATGGTCCTATTAATAATAGACAGGTCATACTTTGAAAACACAGAAGTGAAATATTGACATGAGACAATCAATAGCCTAGAACTAGTTAGATAATAAAATATAGGGTATAATATAGGTTGTATTGTAGTAAGGAAGATGTGACACATGGTTTAGTCAATATACAACTACTAGGAACTAGGTTATCAAACATTATTATTCTATATCAGTCTGTACTCTAATGAATGCCAATTAGCCACTCACATTTCATTTCCCGTACAGAACAATGATTGTAATGATATTGGGATGAAATTACTATATCTTATTTCTTCCTGTGTTCCCTACTCATTATCCAACAAAAACTGTGGTGTAGTCATACAAGGCAAAAATCTGGATTCCTTGAGATGCAAAGTTAACAGCTTCAGTTGAGAGTCATTAAAAAAGTGAAACCGAGAAAGTTAAATGTCCTCTTCTCATCGATGATGCTATCAATTTTCTCAGAAAAGACATTGCAAAATATGTTTCTAATCTGTAACCCTTAGGGAACAATTTATCAGTCACAACACTACGATTCTATTTCATCTGATAATAGGTTGATCAAGAACTTCTCTTTATATTGGTATATTTTGGACCTATACAAAAAGATAGCTTATTTTTCAAATATACATTAACCATGGACAACCATGATCATAAAGGAACTAGGGACAAATGATTATTAACAAAAGTTTGGAATATTATAATATGACCTCCATGTATTTTTAATAACATTCTATTGAAATGTTACTGAAACCTATATTATCTTTCTACAGTAGATAATTAAAAGCTGATATAATAGAGCAGTAAATATCAATATAAAATCCTATTAACATGAATAATTGAAATCAACAATAACTATTCTGTTGTATTATACAGACCTCTTTGTCCAGTGAAGCTTCTAATCGAATATTACCAGGACTCATCATGAAATCTTTGACATTTTCAGCACTGGGCTGAGGTGCAGGTTCTTCTGGAGCATAAGTAAGTTTACGAATCGCCAGCCGGACGGAGTTTCTAAAACAGACATTGATGATAATGATAACAACTATTAGGTAATTGAATATTGAATATTAATTGCACCCATTCCAAATATTGTACTATAAGCAAGGGTTAAATCTTTAGAACTAACCTCTTGTGTGGTTTCTCATCAACATTATCTGCTACAAATGTTTTTAACTCGTAATCAACACCACAAGGTTTCCCTGTATCTCCTGGAGCTGGTTGTAAGGTTACAGAGGCTGGGGCATTAGCCGGCATCTACAATATATAACAATATTTACACTATAAATTTCTTCCTAAAAGTGTCAAAGAAAGAACAGATAAAACTAACAGTAAACAAATAAGTTTCAAAAATTTAAAGAATAATAGATTACTGTAGTTTGGAGAGTTACCTATGAATATTTAGTAGGATAACAAATTACAAGGCTCAAGGAAGAATAACAAATAACAATGAATGGAATGACCTAGTGCAATATGAGCTTACTGAAAGAATAACAAATGTCAGTGGTTTAATGAACAAGTGTAAAATTTTGTAAGAGTAACAATTGACAGAATTTCAGAGAACTACCCAGCATAAGAACAACAAATTACAGAGGCTCAGTGTAAGCTAGTGTAATATACTGAATGATTTCAGATTACAGAAGCCCTGAGAATTATCTAGTGCAAAAATGAAAGAAAGATAGCTAATTATAGAATCTGGCTAGCACAGAAGTGGTTATTTTGATCAATTGAAAGAACAATAAAACTGAAGAAATGTAACAATAAACTAAACCAATAAACCCACATTTTCATACTTCTAACAAATTCAGTAGCACGGAACAGCACAAAATTTCTATTTATTAACAAAATGCCTACACTTCATTGCTTATAAGTATTGCAGAAGTAATGAAGCAGATACATAATGTAAATTTGGAAGGAAAGTTTCTTCTTATTTTCAATAATTCAATATAAAATGTTGCATGGATTGTCACATGCCTTCAATTTAGCTGTAATTCTTATATTCAGTTCCATTACGTTATTGATTTAACACGACAAAATATCAAATAACCAATAAACTTTTTTTTATTACTTTCATAAATATTCAACAAATATTTATAAAATTCCATTTCAGATGATGGGTTGATAATTTTATTGAGATCCTTTTAGGGCTGTAGGATTTAATCGATATATTGTGATATGGGAGACTCAGAGACAATATATCCCTAATGATCTGTGTGTATCAATATTGAAGATATTTTAAATCTACTTTCACTTTTCATGTGCCAGTCCCGATTATGGTTATCGTCATTTTAACATCTTGAAAATTAATGTTATATTTGCTTAGAATAATATTTCACGCGTAACTAAAGTTTTTATATTAAACCTAAGCTTAATCAATTAAATATGACATTACTTTTATTTTTAATTACATTTTACGACAACCAAAAACTACTATCATAAAGCATGGTGTCTGCTGATAAAATTTTAGTTTCTAAGAAAGGAAAGGAAAAAGGAAAAGCGACAGTGTGGAAAAACTTTGGGTTTAATCAAACTGAAGATGGGGCAATCCATTTGTGATTTTAGTTTGTGCCAAATTTATATTTTCATTTATGGTTTGTCTCAACAGAACAAATCAACAAATAAATTTGCATAATAATATTTATTCTAATATTTAATAATTTAATGTTTTTATTTCTCACACACATTATTTTTAATTAAGTTTAAATAGGATGTATTGCATAATAGAATCTAAGTTGCTCACAAATTTGAAAAAAAGCTGAAATATTAACTCAATGACATATTGAAATATATTGCAATACGAGTTGTATTGCAATATATCAGAATACGATCATTATCATTTGAACCATTTAAAAAATGTTATTTTAAATTCATGTGCTAATTTGAAAGAAGGCTTTCTCTGTAAGTTATAAAGGGAGAAAGTCCTTTTAATATTCATAGAACTAGTTGAAATAGTTCACCAAAACCTCACAGTAAATTTCCGAAAGAGAAATCATACCTAACACTTGACTTTGCTGTCTTGAATGATCAATAATGGTTATTGGCCTCATTTCAATGACCTCATAGATTTTTCAATTTGTGATTGCAATTAGGAGAAGGTCATTAATTGCTTTTCATTCCATGTGGCATTAAAGGTCTGCAGACTTGTCACTCTTTGCGTTTTATTCTTATCCATTAAACAAGGATTCTCAAGAATCTGCTAAAAAAACATGTTTGCTTTTCTCAAATTTAAACAATCTTGCCTTGTTATTTTTTGTTAATTACTATCAAATATAAATGTAAACTGAGTTAATCTGTTGACGCAAGTAAAGCCTGGCTGTAAGTATTTATAACTTGAGATGATGTAAAATAGTTTATCACAATGACCAGTTGTAGAGAAAATATTTAGATTTCTAACACTTATCTCCTCTATTTAATTCACTCTGTGTCAGACAGAAAGAATTCTAGTGTATTTAATCTCTTATAGAAAAAAGATCTAAAATAGACAATTGCTCTGGGAAAAGTTATTTTTCTCTAGAAATAGCAAAGAAAGTCATTGATTAATTAACAGAATCTTTCTTGGCAATTGTGAAGATTATAGTATGGCTTTTTGGACCTTGCACATTTTGGTCATTTGATCAAATTGAGGTGGAACCAGACATCAAGTAAGCATGCTTTTCAACCATTAAATGATATAATCAGATACAGATTGAAAAGGTACCTAAAAATAACTTATTATTTCTACATATCTATAATTGTATTTTATCTGTTGTTAGGAACCTAACATGAGGCACAAGAGTTTTCTATTTTCTGTTTTTCTATCCTTATGATAAGAAATGGCAAAGATGTTGGTAGTTTGGTCTTTAAAAATACCAAGGCAAATGCCTGGGTTTCTTTTATGTTTACATTTGACCTACACTGGGATAAAGGAGCAATTAGAAAATCATCTTGTATGGTAAGAGACAACAGTATTGATCTTCTCACCAATTTGTCTACTGTGTTGAAAACACAATGTTTTTAGCCTGAATCAATTTTTGATAATGAGTTATAAATAGTAGTTGTTGCCCTCAGGATAGTTCACAAGATTCTGAAACGTATTTGTCAAAGGAATTACTATCCATGATTTCAGTACGAATGGACCTGATAAAATGTACTGGAAATAAAACATCCATATGTAATTTTTCTTTTAAAAACAAGGTATTTGTAACATGCTAGCCATTTAAATCAAATTTATTTGATCATGTTAATTACACATTCTGGAAGACAATTGTCTATATCTATCTGCTTGGCTTTTATTTACTCCACTTTCTTTTTGAGAACTTTTCCTACTTATCTATAGAGAAAATCATCAGGTGGCAATTTAAGATAGGGGCACACAAACTGTTTTTGTTGTTGATTTTTATCGCAGACTAGAGTCTTGTGAAACTCTTGTGAAGAGTTTCACAGACTGGCTGTGGGCATGCAAGGAGACAGAAAATCCCCAGTCAGTTGTTTCCTACTATGTGGATGATCACATGATGATGATGCGATTGAAGTTAAAATGGATCTGATTGGATGATGATGCTCTGTGGAATATTATCTCTTAGTGAGTCTGGACACACAAAGAAAACAATCGCAGACAATTAGCAATGCAATGGTCAAAACTCTAGTTCAAATCTTGTTGAATTTCAGGCACCTATGAGCCTGACAAAATTCAAATAATAAAACATAATACAATGTTGGTATTCCATGTTATATATCAATTCATATAAATTATCTATTAACAGTATCAATTGATAATTGTCTACAGTTGGACACAAATATTGTGAAAATGAGATGGGAGTGTTGTTTTTTATACATTATAAAATAATTTTATTCTAATGGGAATTGCAAGTCTAGCAATATAGTTTGAAATACATTATATTTCACGTCTAAACTTACAAAAATCGATGATATTTAAGTCATTTGTGAAAAGTTTTCTTAAAATATTTTTTTTTCGAATCTTAATAAAAACTTTGTTTCTTCCACGTAATGAGAGTTATTATGATCGTTCTTATAAAAGACATGTTGCCATTAAAATTTTATGTGCAACTAATGATCTCATGCAACTAACATTTTACAAAAGGTTTCTTGAGGCAAACATATTATCTCTTGCTATATCCAGCTGTAAATGGATAAGTATCATTCAGGAAAGACCATTGCCAAGACAACTTGTCGAAGGCAGCAAAGAATGGATCCTGAAGAAAATAAGTTTCCTAAGAATTATTCATTACATGAACGAATAAAATTAACCCAATAAAACCTGATAAATTGATATGCACAACTTGTGTTCAATTTTAAGTGGCTTGCAACATATTTTTTGTAAAACCAATTTCATTTCATCGGAAGTAGAACATATCTTGAAAAGTTGGAATAATAATGGAAGCAATGTTAAGTAAAATAGGAATTCAGTATTTCATATGAAAATGTTCTGTAACTAATACAGTCTGGGTCAAGCATGTGAAATATTAAGACAATGAATTCAAGAACAGTCGAATATTACAATTCAAATCAATGTTTTGCAAATATATTAGGGATTTTACCATGGAAACGTTCATACTTTCATTGATTCATTTCATCTTTAAGTATGAACAATTCTGATATTCTGAAGTTGTAAAAAAACTCCCCTTTTAACATCATTGTCTTAAGCTAAAATAGCAGCTAATATAAGAAATTTATTGTGGTTTGGAAATATTTTACTCAATTGTCATTTAAAAATTCAACTTCTAGCTTGCACATAAGTGCTTTTAAATACCTATTGAATTTCATGGCCATTCATCCTAGTTGTAAGGTACTTTGTTTCTAGCCTACTCCATGACCTTCCCTTGTGCCATGATTTTCTTTGTACATTCTAATTGTTTCGTTGAAAAATTGAAACTACCATTAAAACAATATCGTCTTGGGAAGATTTTTTTACATTATGTAGATTTAATGAAATAGGTATTTTTTAACAGATTTCAGGAACTTAATCATTTCCAGATGAAGTACCAAAATTCTATAAGGATCGCATTGTCCATGTTTCATTTCATGACAATGATTATTTGTGTGAGCACTATTAAAAAAACATTTTGTTGATGTAGCCTACTTACTTCAAAATAAAATGGGTAAGCATTTGGTCCAAGTTTTTTAATCAGCCTTTCTTGAAGTCTTGTTAATGGTTTCTGTTGTTCTTTAACTTGTGGAAAAACCTGCATTGTAGATAGATACAGGTCTTTACGGAAAGTAAGACCCAATACATCCAAATCTTCTCGTCCATATCGGAAAGCTGCCAATACATGAACGAACACTTTCCTATCTTTCAGATATTCTGGATCCACTAGAACAACTCCATCTGAAAAATATCAGAAAGGTTTATAAATATAGGTAACATAATATATAAACATTAGAATCTTTATATTGAACATTTGATAGGTTAAATATTTATGACTTATACAGATATATAGTTGATTCTTCCACTGAAGAACATAATTCTGCAAAATGAAGGTACAGGTATACTACATCAGCAGTATAATAAAGACTTGTTCAAGACAAACGAGCAATTACTTGAATTTTGTTAAGGTGTCACAGTAACTGTCATTTAATTACAGGTGTATCAATGTGGATGACACAACCCTAACACAAGAAAGACACTACATGTTATGTATTTGTTCACATAGGCTTAGGTGCACCAGAACATTACATTGTCTATAAATAATGATTGCTATCCATTGAGATGTCAAAAGGCAGAAGATTGAGCTATTTCTAAGGCTTCAAGAAGACTAGGTCTTCATAATTTTACAATATCTATATTTAGCAAGTCAGAAACAAGACTTACAAAGGTCATATTACTAAATTTTCTTTTTGACTGTACAGCCATATAGTATTATCATTAAAAGCTTATGGTGAAACCTACTTGTACCATAGGGCCCATTAGGTGGAATTTAGGAAACCTCTTTAAGTTTCTAATTTTTCTACGTGAGCTGTGTTCTCCAATCTTTATATTTCTCATTTAGAATGCAGACAACATTTTTGAAAATAAACTGTAGAATTAAAAGTTGGATGTTGTGTACTTTTATCATGACATTTCTGTGACAATCTAATACCCACATGGCTTCCTTGTTCTTCTTATAACCTACAGGCAAATTAGATCTTGTAAATATCTCAATAGATCAGTTAAGATTACAGTTAATATTAAAGTCAAACAGTTACATCAAAGATTCAATTTATAAAGTCACAATTCAATTTCATTTTTTATTTCAGCTTTATGGTGACAAAACTTATACGATTATTCTTACTTTGTATCATTATTGCCTATTGTTAATTACTTAATCTCTTTGTATTTAATCTTTGTCTTTTTAATTCAAATCATCTCATCCCTTAATCAATCTCATTGAACAATTCACATCAAAGTGGAAACTAATACCTAATAATTGTGGCCCGAGTGTGTTGTGGTCCGAGTTTGTTATGAAATATTTTTAAAATGTGGATTGGTCTTAGTTTGTTTTGGTCTGAGTTGTTCTGATTCCGTTGTTTACATCTGGGTGACTACAGGACTAATTTCAACTACTTTAGTTTGAGAGAAAAGCATGCCATTTTTGACCAGTTCATTTATTGCAGTATAAATATGTACAATTAATCAGTCTGGACCTAGAAAGGAAAACTTTACAGAGGCCAAGTCTAGAAGAGGAGCATTATTCACATCCACTTGGTAATACCAACCATAATGCCCTTCCCAAATCAATCTTTATGATCCACCTCCCACTCCCCTAAATACATGACGATCATATCATCTGAAGGTAATTGAAATAGTAAGGTAAAAGATAGTAATTGAACATCATATTAACATAAAATCAATTTGTTATCAAATAGATTGATGCTGAAAGGTCCATTGAGAATACTTAATACTACATGTTAACCCAGAAGCCATTATGACTGATGACTCTAATAATACATGACTGAAATATAAATCAGATGTCATCATTGCCATGCTGGCGACACCAACTAAAATAAATTCAACAACACTTTAAAATATTGAATTCTTACTACATGACATAGGCTTTATATGGGAATTTATTCTTATTTCTACAGCATATAATCAAATTATATTATTAACAACATTACTAATTCTATTGGAGCTTAAACTCAATTGTCTTTGGATACAATTTTGTATCCATTCTAAACTTCTACTATGTCATAATAGATCATCTGTAAGTCTAGTAAGGTAAAAGTAGTAACGTAAACTTTACTTCAAATTCTACTACTATTTCTCTGATCAGTAAATTATATATTTTTGAGAAATAATGTGGCGTTCACATCTTAACGAAGAAATAAGACTATCCTAAGAAACATTGGAAATAAAAATCAATACAATGTCTATTTCTCTTCTGACAGAAGAAAACATACGATGGCGACAAACACCATCAAAATAGATATCACATACGTATTAACTGTCAACCATGAAGGATACTTCACACAGCAAAAGGAAAAATTATGAATGTTTGATTTTTTTTAATACAGCAAATTTGGTTGCAAAAGACAATACTAATCACATGTACTACACTATTGTCTTTGGCAATTGCTAATTCTATTTAGTTTTTCAAGTTAAACAATGTTTCATTTGATAATTATTTAATATATATATATGCCAATGTGAGTTGCGCTTAAATAAATATATTAAATAGCTGTCTGTTCATGACATCAATCAAAACTACAATATTGTTAAGACGTTTCTATGAAATATAAGATTATCGAGTGTCACACTATTTGACATAAAATCTTTAAAAAAAAGTTCAGATATCAAGAAAGGTATTATCGTAATATAATGTTACAAGGGGATAGAAATTTAATACGCAAGTATAGAAATACAAATTTTTTAATCTTTTCCAACCTACACCTGCAGCACATTTAATCCATCAAACAAACCAGTAGTTTTGAATCAGACTGGAATTAAAATGGTTTAAGTTTATATCATGTGTTACTTGCCATAAGTCTCTAGTATCTGGTCTTTCTACAAGTTTGTTTTGGCAAGCTTCAGTGTGTCAATATACTTTCAGGTTATAGCTTATTTTCTTCAATTCTGAATTTTAAATTCAATCAATTTACTCAAATGAGTCAAGTCTGAAGAAGAGTAAATGCACATGTTAAAGCAGGTTTTAGAATGTGATCACAATTGGGGAATATTAATGGTTATTTACTTAGTTGTTTTATGGTTTTATTTCATTTTCTGTACATTTTATTACTGGTATCTACATTTGTGTGTTATTTCAAAACATTTATAAAATGATGAAAAGTAAGAAATTATTATATATTTTATGATTGTGATTGTCAACGTGATAATGTTAACATTATTCATATTGCTACAAGCAAAACATGTAATATGTAATATCTACTGCTTCCATTCCAACCTCCACTATATTTTTGTCACATTGAATCACTATGGAGACATGATATTTATAACTGTAACCACCAATCAGAACTCTTGATTGATTTATTGTGAATATAACATTTTGACTTGACAATTCCACCTTGCTTCTATAAATAGTAACATTGACTTTAGTTACTAATGAGTACAGAGATTATCAGCTATCTGATTTTACAATCTCACATCAAATGGTCTTTTTAACAGGCTTGGTGGTCAAATAAAAGAACACTTCATTTCAACCTGTTCTCAATAATTTATTGATCAGTAATAAATTTGAACAGTTGATCAATCAAGAATGTTTCTCCAGTTATGTCACAGTCAAAGAGATGGAATTTGAAACGAGTCGTCGTCTAACTTCAAGTTATGAAAAAAGTATCTCAATGGTTTTGTCAAAATTAATCAAACCTATAGTCTTTATCATGTTCACAAGCTAATCTATATAATGTACTTTGGTAATATCTTAAAAACCTACAAACATAACTAATGACATATGAACTGGATTTCAAAAATAAACATTAGTTTCGTCAAAATCTAACTAAAACTGTTATTGTGGATGGAAGGACAACCAATGTAATAAGAGCATGTAAAAACTAATATGCTCATGTACAAAAGAAAGCAATGTCCATATATAAAGTCGCTTTAAAGTATATCCAAGCCATAACACAAAAACTACGGTGAATTTTTCCATTCATTAATCTGATTAAATTTTGACACTATATATGAGATTATGACATATTTCACTTTAAACCCTGATATTACAAGATACAAGTAAACTAGTGTCCAAAAGAAACGATACCACCTGTTTGCAACGACATAAAAGAAAAACTAAACAATGCAGAAGTTTAGGATTGGTGTTATGCTTTTGAGAAATCCTTTCACAACATCTGTAGAAAAATTCCATTTCAATAAAATCTGTACAACCAATATGACAAGCCTTTAAAGATGGGTGGGGTCGAAAAAAGAACTTTTCGTTAGAGCACTGATCACGGAAACAACGGGAAATGTCACACCACACGTCACAAAGTCAAGTCAGTAGCGGGTATGTCCACCGTGAGCATCATTACATGCCAGAACACGCCTACGGACTGATGCCGTCAAACGTCTGATGACATTGGGAGTGATGCGTTGCCATTCCTCGAGGAGGCATCATTCCAAGTCCAGGACGTTGACTGGAGGCACACGGCGACGTCGGATTTGCCGATCGAGGTGGTCCCATAAGTGCTCGATGGGATTCATGTCCGGTGAACATGCGGGCCATGGCAAAACCTGTACGTTGGCAAGGAAGTTCTGTGTCAATCTTGCTGTGTGTGGCCTTGCATTGTCATGTTGGAAAAGGAGTCCACGAGGCTGTTGCTGAATAAAGGGCACCACAACAGGCCGTAGGATGTCATCAATATAACGCTGTGCATTCAGATTTCCACGAATTACGACAAGCCTCGTTTTGACGTCACCACATATGCCACCCCAAACCATTAACCCTCCACCTCCAAACGGCCGGACCTGTTGGATACAGTTAGGCGCCAAACATTCACCAAATCGTCGGTATAGAAGCTGCCGTCCATCGTTTTTGAAGATGAGGAATCTGCTCTCATCAGAGAACATAACATGTGCCCAGTCCCGCCGTTGCCAACGTCGAACTCGCCTGGCCCAGTCTGTTGTTCCGGTGTCGAGGCGTCAGGAGCGGTCCGCGGTAGGGATGATGTGGCCGGATACCATACTGCCGTAGTCTCCTGTAGACGGTCTGTCGACTGATCCTGTGTCCCAGTGCTGTAGCCGCCGTGGACGTCGCTGTTACGGTGCGGTTCCTCAGGTGTAATACCCGGATGTAACGATCTTCACGGTCGTGGTTACTCGTGGTCTTCCATTCCTGGGCCTGTCTGACGTCTGACCTGTCTGACGTAACCGCTGCATCAACCTGGTGATAGTGATGCGTGCGCAGCCCAATCTTCTGGCAAACGTCGACGTGTGTCGCTCCTTGTTGGACCATTCCAACGGCTCTCTCTGTCTCGATGGCTGTCAAACGTGACATATCTTGTGTTCTTTTTGTTGCTGTGATATCAACGTGTCTGATCAGCCGTTTTATACAGTTTTTATGCACGTGCAGAACACTTCAATGACTTTATTTCTCCTGATAAAGTTCATTTCAGACACACTAGTTGCATTAAGAGATGAACTGGTTGTATTTATGCCAATAATAGAGGAATATCATATAATTCCTTCAGTAATTCATATCACATATTAAAACAGTATAATTTTTGCTTGAACACAAATGATATGACTACGTAATGAATAAAGTCACATATTGTTACTATTCAGTCAATGATAATGATTTAACTTTTCTTTGTTGCTTAGTAAATACAAAAGCATTTACTTATAACAGAAACTTAAACTAATTGTTGAGGACGTTGCTAATCGAAAAGGACCTTATGTGATATTGGGCCATTAGTGACGTCACTTAGCCTTAGTGGAATTGCAAGAACCACAGATGTCTGTTGGAAAATTGGAATGAAGCCAATTGATACTCTGTGTCCCTGATACATATAAAAATCTAGAAAACCTCTGTACAATCCCTTTAACAATTTGGATTAGAACTTCAGGTTATAATCAACATTATCATTAACAGTTATGTTCAAACTTTTAGGTGTTGAAATGATAAACAGAAATTCTAATGAACTTTGAGGAAATCGATTACAAATAAGAAAAGATTTTATAATGAAAGGTGGTATTGGGTTTCTAAGCATTCCCTGTACAATTTTGTTAAATTAAGCAAACTGATGAAGCAAATCATTCAATAATAAGGTGATGCCCACCATTTTAATTCTCTCACCTATTACCTCTACTAGTAGCTCATATCATTTTAAACCTTAATAATGCAAAAAACAAGGAAGAAAGAAGACTCAAAGTATAATCAATAATACTTGCCTATGGGATCTGTGTGAGTAAGATGATCAACAAAATCTCTCTTTCCTAGGTATGTCGTAATCTAGAAAAATAAATTATGCATACTGAAATTATGAAGGCCTTTTTTTTGTGTTTTTTCAACCTTGTAATAAGATATTTTATCCAAAGCATGATCAATTCTATCAGTAATCATTTGGAAATCAATAATCAAAATATAAAACTGATGATTGTTCAATGACAATTATATAAGAAAAACAGGTGTTGCATTACAAGATAATTTTAATAATCAAATTAACACACAATCAAGAAATCAATTATTAACCAGACCAATAAAACTAATTATCAAACTTGAGTACATTTAATAATTAACACTTACCTTTCCATTTGGACTGCTTTTCTTAAAAACTCTGAAAAATAAATAATGTATGATTAGCTTTCAGTTTGGCTAATGTGCTATCATGCTTATATTCAGGTTTCATCTTGTGTAAATTTATTTCAAGTAAGGAGAATAAATTTGACACAAAAATACAACTATCATGATAGGAATACATTGTAAATTTAAGTATAAATGTATTAGCATACCAAACTTTATCATTTATTGAGAACAGGACTTTGGGGAATTCAACAGATACCTTCTGTCATCAACCTTCTTTGGGTATTTATCTGAATTGTACCAATTATATTTTTATTCATGTGTATTGATATTGAAATGGCCCTCATATAGATGGTTAGCTGTTTAAATTCAGTAAAATTTTATCTTGTACTATAATAAGATCATTAATCCAGCTTGGCAATTCTTTAACATTTTGAACGGACCAAATATATGTCAAATAACCATTTTTCTTTTTATAAAATATTTTACTCTTCAGTTTCATATTAATTTTTTCTTTATATAATATCAATGTAATGAGCTTTAAACTGAATTCTATGATATGTTGTCAAATCAAAGAAAATTATAGAAATACTCTGCTTTCTCTCTGTCACAAACAAGCAAAATATTTGACTTACACACTGTATGTTACTGACAAGTAAATTATATACTACTACAATTTTTATAACATGACAAAATATCAACTGAACATTATTAACTATATTGACTGGAAAGACAAGGATCAGGTGTTTTGTATTAAGGTGTTCTTGATAGGTGATTTCTTTGTTTCATTAGTGGAAACTAATTAACACTGACAAAATTAGATGAGCAATTCATCAGACCAAATTTAGGTTTTGGCTAATCAAGTTAAATTTTGATTCACAATTAATAAAAATTCTGTAGCATTTCAAAATATTCACGTTACAGACTTCTGATTGTTAGTTACATAATGTTATACAAACTGCCAACAGTTACAGTGTATTTGATAAATTGATAGAAATTTTAAAAATATACATTTTGCTTTGATCGCCACGATAAATTTTGGTTTATCATAGAAATTTTTAAATTGTGAAAGAGGTCATTTTGAATGACTAACTGCGGTGAAATACCGCTTAAATTGAACCCTGCTTTAGTATATACAATAATTACCTACCGTGTTTTAATTCCATTGGTCATGTTTTAATATTAAAATTATCTAACTATTCTAATGACTTATATAATTCTCCATAAAAATCATTCAAATATAAAAGAATTCAACTTGATTGAGGCAACAGATACAGTGATTCCTGATGTACAATATGTACTGAATTTCCGACAAACCAATTGACCAGTCTCAGGTCTAGTGCTCCTTTCACTCTGATCATCAAATCACTTCTGACTAAATCAGGTATGACATGCAAGAAAATCTATAATGTGTTAATTAAGCTAAAAGAACGTGACAAAGTAAGTAATAAGTCTAAAGCATATAATGATAATTATTTCTGTCTACTTTGTTTAATTGAATATTATACTGCGAACAACATGTCACATGATCTGAATTAAAACTATTTTCCTTGAATTTGATACCAGTGGCTCCTTGTTAACACTTTTTATTGAACAACTTAACACTCTTTTCTAATAATGACAACAGAATTTATCAGTATAGTATATAAAGCGATTAGGAGTATTTTGTGTACTACCTTAAAGTATTGGTCCTATCCATAATGTTCTAAAAAAAAAAGTGTTTTTAGGTTTTTTTTGAACTCATTTAACATTTTCTATATTAAATTGTCTAACTTTGATGTTTGGTTTTCATAAATTGCCAAATATTCTGAAGGAAACCCATCTTTATTTCCATATTCTGATATCATCAATCAACAAAAAATTGAAGCTGCAGGAAACAAACTTGCTGATACAAGTTCACATTTAATATAAGCACTATGCACCCATAGCTCAATAATATGATCTAAAAACTGAATGTTATGATGACATTTTTTGAAAACTATATTAGTTTTAAGTTCAAAGTTACAGGCAAATGAATTAAATAAAAAAATATTTCTCTCTTTAGATTATACGAAGTAAACAAATTTATTTTTTGATGTATATCAAATAGCAGCCTACAAAGGGATCTTCATACATTTTATTTTGAAGCAAGGCATACTCTCTCTTTAATAAGACCGAAAACTTATCAATCTAGAATATTCTATATATAGTATAATCTTATAATATTTTATAATCATGAGTTAATCCTATTTCAAATATAGATCAAAACAAATCTTTTTAAGGTAAGATGTAAAAATTATATTTTCTATAAAGCATGTCTTTTATCCATTTTATCAACTTACACTGAAAATAGTTCATGATATAATATTACTTTTAAAGATTTTTGATGTTTGTCTTTTCAATTATAATATAATATGATTATTAATGCTAATATAATATGTAACAATATTCTTTCTCATTGATCACACATGTAAAAAAAAATATAAATCTTATAAATGAATGTCAGGTCAACCAATAAAAATTTCTATCTGACAAAGTGAATGTTTACTTTGTGCCACATATGTTTCATTATTGATTTATAAAACTTGACAGACAAAAACAAACAACCTAATGAAAAAGATATATTCTATCAAAAATTCATTAAGGTTGTTTATCAGTTGACACTAAAAGCACTTCTGTTGAAGTCTATATAAATGTAAATGGAATATAAAAGAAAGAGTTTATTTTGATTTCATTATTATTGCACAATGAAAGAGATATATAATATTTATAATCTTTTTGAAGTTCGAATGGTTACTCGTAAGTTAACAACAAGACTTGAAATAAGCATGCGGATATGGACATTGTCCGGTACAATTTCGGCAAATGTCTGGTACCAAATGCATGAAAAAATATTTGTTTCTTATCATGAATTATCAACGTTTCTGATCGCTAAAATTGTTAACAGAAGTCAAGGTTGTGTGTTCTTGCGTGTCCCTTTTCATGCAACAGAATGACATTCTCGCCTCGGAACGCAAAGAATTTGATACAAAGATGTACACTGAGCCGGAGGAAAATGTTGGGCCCCAATATTGTAAACACTGCCGGATGTGTTGAGTTTTCTCAAAACCGAAAGTGGAAAAATAATGAAAGTAAGAATCCCATTGGCTGATATTAAGAGAAATCTTTCTTGTCTAATCAAGGCTTTTCTCTGGTCCAAGAATTATTACGTATATTTTTACAGCTTTATCGTTACCCGAGAGTCATCGGAAATATATTGAATGAAATTAACTATTCTTATCTTGCTGTTAACCCTATATGGCAGGTAAAAAAACAGCAAATTTCAGTTGTAAATTGACAGTAGTTAGGGGCCTACATGCCATTTTTGAATGGAAAATGTTCAAATGTCCGGCCCAATTTCTTCATTTATTTCAAACTTTGGTTGACACTAAAAACACTCTTGTAGAAGTCTAAATCGATGCCAATGGAAAGAAAAAAATTTTGTGTGTTGTTAGATTATTAATATGATTTCAATATTATTGCATAATGAAAGCAACGTAATGTATGCTCTATCACTAAGTTTGAAATATTCAACCATTAGTCAAACACATCCATTATTACCAAGTTTGTCAAACTTTGGCAAGCATTTTGCCATCTAGAGTTTTTACGTGCTAAAAATTGAACGTGTTTTTAAGATTTCTGACACTACAAACACTCTAGTAGAAGTCTTAATTGATGCTACTGGAAAATTAGAGAAAATTTTTCTGTGTGTTTATTACATTATTATTTTGATTTCAAATTATAATGCATAAAAACATATTCTATTAAACCTTTGTAAGGTTATTTATCAGTTGATACTTAAATCACTTCTGTAGAAGTCTCTATAAATGTAAATTGAATATAAAATAAACAAATTATTGTGTATATAACATTATAATCTTATCATTAAGTAAGTATTATTTGAAGTAAATGTTAAGAGATGAGTATGAGTATAAGCGAAGATGATGATATTATGAGTATTGACTACCATAATAAACTGATGATAAAATATATTACATTGATTAATACAAGCTACTTACCATCTTAATACTATCATATGATGGGTTGGACAGCATTAATTACTGTATAACGTGATGTAAGAGATAAAGTTTTTATAGTCTACGCCTTGCTAAGAACTTGTGGGTGGAATATATAGGGTGTGGTAGCTTATATTGTCAACCCCCTTCAAACATATCTTACACACAAACTGATACCAGAATAAGAAAAACTTTAACTTGTATTTGTTCTAATTTTATCTTTTCTATTTTATCTACATTCTCTTTACTATAATGATCTTGTAACGTCAGATTTTATATTTAAGAAAGAATGTAAGAATTTTTCATCTTAACATCATTCAGTAAAACCATAAACTCAAACTTAATTTCAGATTATAAAAGGAGAAAGACAGCATGCCAATCACAATAACGAATTCAATCAACACTTTTGAACTAAAATTAAGATAGTTCTAATGGCATTGACTTGGCTGAGAGCCATTAACAGTCTTGTGATTCTTTGACTAGAATTCAAAATTATTGAAGTGTGTCATTCAATCAGCGATGACGGACAGTTGAGACGACCTTTCTATATCTACTAAACTAAAATTTTTATCTGCAACTTGAAATCAATTGGTTAACAATGTAGCACTATCCTTTATTATTGAAGAGATCATCATAATTCATTTCAAGATTAACATGAGCTGTCATTTGTATTAACTTTTTTTTGGCTACTGATGCTGCATTGTAAGGATCCTTTTGGACATGTTATCATAGAAGAGTGCTGATCTCAAACACAAGTCTGGTAACCTTAGCTTTATTATCAAGCACTCTGCTTCTCTTTCTCAGGTTTCTTAATAACTGCTTCAAAACTTAATCACTGCTATTCATAACCTATCTACATTTATAAGATTGAAACTGGCTAAAAATTCATAGTGGGCGCGTAGAAATTGATATTTTTTTAAAAATGTGAAATAAAAGAGACCATTCAATTATGTAATTCCATGCTATATACTGAAGATATATTCATACTATAAGTACTTATTT